TTTCTCAAATTAAAATCATATGTCAATAAGGAAGTAAAATACAATCGATTTGTAAAATTTTAAGCTAATTCTTTCCTAAAAGGTTAAATTTATAAGGGCTGTGTCGTCTAAATAAAATATATTTGGCAGATCCGAATCGGAAATGAGAACTACCTCCGAAATGCATTTATCTTTGCTAATTGTGTAAACAAAGTTTATGATTTTCCAAGATAATTAGCCTGGGATTTTTATTTTATTTCATATATAATTTGCTTTGATTGTCAGTTTATATTGGATCTGATACTAGTGGCAAACTTCTGAGCAGGCTTATATTGGCTGACAATAACGAGTATAACTTCCCGTACATACATTTTCCGAAGCTAATTTCCTGAATCCAATTTCATAACTGGACACTTTCCTGAGATCACAAACTTTTCCTATTTCCCGAATCCCAAATACTTATATCCCGAATATTTGATATCTCGAATCGACACTCGAGATCGAGTTATTCCAACAGTTGAGCTTCGGCTGGTAAATTGAACACACTCCACCAACGTAAAAAAAGTGCCGAGTTTTTGTTAATTGAAAACTGGCGACGCTAATTAAAATCTTTGGTTAGACATTGATTGGAATTGTTGTAACTGAAATTGAAGATCGGGTTGGATCATTACGGTCAGAAAGTTTAAAAATAAATAAAATAAATAATAAAAAAAAAAAAAAATAATACGCTTATTAACTGACATAGCATCGAATGCGATCGAAAACCTGGATGAAAACAAAATTGAAAAATAAAATTAAACAAAAAATAAAAAAAAAAACTTATTTAAATGACGTAGTATCCATACAATCGAAAACCCTGGATGAAAACAAATAAGTATAAAAGAAACAGAGAAATAAATTAAATAAAACTTACATTCAATCGGCTCAGCAATAAAAAAATTATAAAATGAAAGTTTACTTACGTTAAAAATTTTAAAAATAGAAAGTCAAAAAAAGAAAAATAAAATACATTATGTAGCAAACCGAATTCGATCAAATCCTAAAAAAAAATAGAAAAATAAAACAAAAATAAAACGAAAAGAATAAAAAACCGAAAAATTTAAGAAAAAATTTAACCTAAAAAAAAAAAATAAATAAAATGTATATCCTGCTATTAAATTTAATTTATAAGTATGTAAAGGCTAAAAATATAAAAAATTTCAAATAAGTTGACAGACAGTTAAACAAAAAAATTGAAATTGGAGTCCCGTAAGACGCTCTTTATAGTAATCAACCCTTGTCGAATATTATAATGGTATGGTATAATGCTCGAAACGATAGTCGACCCAGGTTGTTTGACCCGACTCGAATTTTTTCTCGATCGGGACTATCATTTTTATGACACGAGTCCTAATTCAAAAAAACCCGCCGGGTCAGGGTCTCGTTTTTGTTTGACCCGGGTCGACCTTGGTGACCTGGATGATCTGATTTAAACAATATCGTTATAAATTGACGCGCTAGACTTTTTCTTTTTACGAGGCTTTAATTTGTAACGATTAAATAATGAGTGAAACTATCGACGTTACCGATAGTACAACTTCTTCTATAAAACGAAAAACATTGCGGTGTGAACAATTACAGATAAAAAAAAAAAAGTATCATTTATTAAACATTAACTAATACATTTTTTTATAAAGCAACAAGTGTTTTAGTAGAACAAGTTTATTCTGGCGGAACCGATCTGATATCGACCAAAAAGAAGTGGTCTTAAAACTAATAAAATTCGGTGGAAAAGATGTAAAAAAAAAACAATTAGGATTAATGCTCAAAAAAAAAAATAATAAATTTTAAAAATAAAATAAACTTTATATAACTCTTTTTTATTTACGGCATTAATATAAAATATTTATAAATAAAAAAAAAAAAATTCTGAAAAGCTTCTCACCGTTTTGCTTAACCTAATTGTTTACTACTCTTTGGAATTTAAACCAACAAATTCAATTTACAGCTTTTTTTTGAAATGACACAGGCGCAGCGATCGATGATTTTTATAAAATCTTGCGCCCCTTTCTTTTTCTTTAGATTCCTCTTCGAAATCGGATGGTTTCTGTGTCAAATTATCTTTAACAATTGAGAAATAAGAAAAAATAATTAAACCATTTTTATATTAAATTATGTTTATGTAAAAATACATTTAGATATTTATCTAAATTACGATTCAAATTATAAATAAAGTTAAAACATGAAATCATTATCTATTATTTATTAGAAATAATCCAACCTTCCATTTTATTTATATATTAGTAAGATAAGAAAAACTTCTAAATTATTTATAATATATTAGTTAAAATAAATCATGTAAATTTTTTTTAAAAAAAAAAAAATATGACGACGCGGCAAATTCATCACCGTCAGTTAGCAATATAATATTACACACTGATTCAATATTCAGTTACTACAAAAAAATATTTACTTTCTTGTTTAATCAAAATAAATGAAATATGTAATGGCTTACGTATTATTTAATCAATGTAGCAGCCAATGTAATCGAAAGCAGCCGTATGAAAAACCTAAATAAAATTCAGATAATACAAATAAAATAAAAAAGATACATTATCAACGTAACAAGTGAATGAATATCAAATAAATAAAAATAAAAATACAAACTTAACATTTATTGAATCAATAAACCTAAAATATTAAAATATTAAAAAAAAAAACCACTAAATCCATAAATAAAGTAGCGTTTGCTGTTTAAATCTTGCTACAATTATTATAAAAATATTATAAACATTAGAGTTTCCGCACATAAACTTGATTTTTAGGCTTGTCGGACGCAGCGTTGAAATAATTGATATTTTTTTCTTACAGAATATATTTCATCACTGTAAAGCATAAAGATAATCATTGCTAAAAATGACAGGAAAGTGGTCACGAAAATCATTACTTAATATATGTGTAGTTTATTTTATTCTTTTATTCTCCTTCTCCTTTATTTCTTTTACAATGTATTTTTATTGGAATTTGGAATTTTTATTTATACATGAATTCAAGGCTGCCACAAAAAAAATCTCGATGAAAAAATTTTTTTTTAAAGTTAAAAACCCCTTTAAACAAAGCAAACGAAAATCTAGAGAAAGAACAGATATTGATTACCGCAAAATGATAAAATGGAGAAAAATTAAAATGTGAATGGAAAAAAATTGCAGCAAAAAGAATTTATTTATTTTATTCCATATTTAACAGATATTGATAAGTGGATTTGTCCTTGCAAATATTTTTAGCAAATAGATTGATATCTTAAAGGGCAAATTATTTTAAAAGGTATTTAATGTAATTTATTGTCCGAAGCGTAGCGAGGTGTTCCACATTTAGTTGAGTATAATTCAGGTATAATCTATTAACGGAGAAGCAATTCGAATTATTTTTGAATTACGAAAGTCTCTTTCATATGACAAGACACCTTCGGATATCAGAAACCTGATTAATGCTATTTCATTAGATTCCGTGATTCTCTCAGTATTAAGGGAACCCAAAAATCTCGTACGAAATAGATTCATGGCGCATTTGACTTTAAAGATTTGATCAATCTCAAACGTTGCATAATTAGAAAATCGCTTCCCAAAATCTTGAATATTCTTCATCGATTGCTTCAACTACACGTACGTCCGCACAGCCAGCATGTCTATTAAAATAAGAATTCACAGTCTGAACTATAAAGTTTTCATTATTTTCTTAGAATGGTTACACTGAAACATTATTAGTTTCTTGTGGAAGTGCTTATGTTTATTCTTTTGCAATATCTTAGAGTAAATGACACATTTGATAAATGATTTGCCAAGATTTATCCTGTATTAAGGTTTTATTACCTATATTTCCTTTTTGCACACTCCCTTATCCTGTTTGACATTTGTTTATTTGTTTATCTATATCAGAAAAATCACAGTCTAACTCTTTTTGTAATAGTGAAGGTGGTGGCCTGATTTGTTATGTTGTCAATTGGCTTTTTAAAAGAAATAATTAGTGGTATCAAACGAACTTACAATAGGTTTTTCAAAAAATTATTTGAATTTGAGATTTTAATAGCAATATTTTCAGTTGCAAATTCGGTAGGGTCGGTATAATATTCTAAGTATTTTCTTTACAAAAACTAGAATTTCAAGATTTTTTTTTGTTAATTCTTCAAAGGAGAAACAGTTTTCCTGTGAATAAATAGGCTCTAATTCACCGCAAATCCCATTCCAAATAGTATAGGTAAATGTCATGGGATAGGATGACAAGTATAATCTGTTGATAATTTTTCTAATTTTTGTTATGTTGTTCAATTATGGTCCTGTTATAAATTGTTAGAGATCTAAATTCGTTCACAAGTAAAACTTTCGCCTAGCAGGAATCACCAATTCTGATAGCACAACATTCAATGATTTTGTTTTAGTATGCCACTCTTACGTTTAGTCGCGCTATTACTAATTTATTTATTTGATACTTTGGTAGTTATCTATATAATCAATTAATTTTATCAGAAGATAATATTAAAAAAGTGCAACAACGCTGACGATACATATGCCAAAAATAGAATACAGGTCCAAAATGGCATACAAATCATTCCGACATTCAGATGACCGAATTCAAACATTATAAGTTAATTAGTCAAGAAATGTAAATTAAAATGTAAACACTTCACTTTATAACTCATATCAATTTATAATAAATATTAGTAATGATATTTGGTATTTGTCTATAATCGACATTTTCGGTTCGGTTCTAATTAGTTCCCGATGGCTAACAAATCAGAAATAGAATAATCGGCACTCGGATTCCATGGGACAAGCACTTTTCATTTCCCCAAACGATCTTCACACTTTGGCGTGCATCCGATTTGGTATATCCGAAATGTATCATTTCGGACAATTAACGCATTTGGCTACTTTTTATCCATTTTTGATTAGACTAAAATAAATTATATTAAATATAAAAACGGAAATCCTTTTTTTCCCTTTTTTTTTTAAAAAATAAATTTTTCGAATAATTTTTTTTCAACCATGTTTGCAAAAAAACATTTTACAACTGAAAAAATTCCTGATTTGACCGGAAAAGTTGCCATCGTCACAGGAGGCAACACGGGAATCGGATACATCACAGCAAGAGAATTAGCTCGTAAAAATGCACATGTATTTATTGCAAGTCGCAACAAAGAACGTGGCGAAGGTGCCGTAGAAAAAATTAAAAAAGAAACCGGAAATAATCAAGTAGAATATTTATATTTAGAATTAGTTAACCTTAAAAATGTAAAGAAATCCGCTGAAAATTTCCTTTCAAAAAACTTACCTTTACACCTTCTGTAAGTTAATAACCATTTCTTGGCCGTAAATAGTTTTTTTCTTTTGGTTAAAAATATTTATTTATCATTTAAATATCTTTTTAGTATCAACAACGCTGGAATTATGGCGACGTGAGTTTTTACTCAATCTGATTTATAATTTTGATTATTTAAAAGTTTTTTTTATTCTAATAATAATCAATTTAGCCCATGGTCATTAACTGAAGATGGGATCTCGGATCAATTTGGAGTAAATCATGTTGGACATTTCGTAAGTTTTTTTTTTTTTTTATTTACTTTTTTAAATCTATTCAAAGATTAATCATCTCTTTTTTTTATTAGCTTTTCACAATGACACTTCTCGCTAAAATTGAAGCATCGGCACCTTCTCGAATCGTTAACGTCAGCAGGTTAGCTAATAAAGGTTTAAAGACTAAACTCAAGTGAATTTTTCCAGGTTATAATTAGTTTACATTTATACCGATTTTTTTATAAAATAGCAAAGCCCACGAAATGGCTCCGGCTACTGGAATTGAATTCGAAAAGATTAATCAAGAAGGTGCTCATTCAACTTGGCAACGTTACGGTACATCAAAACTTGCCAACATCCTTTTTACAAAATCATTATCGAAACGACTAGAAGGCAAAGAAGTTTATGTTAATTCAATTCATCCAGGTATAATATAAAAAAAAAGAAATTTCCCGTTATAAAAAGACAATTGTAAAATAAAATTAAAAAATTTTCTTTTAGGGGTTGTTGATACCGAATTATCAAGAGGACCAATTAGTAGTTATGGATTCATTGCTAAAGTGCTCGGAGCAGTTGTTTCTACTTTTTTTGCGCTATCACCTGATGATGGAGCTTTAACACAATTATATGCTGCTACAAGTCCCGAAATTGTTGAAAAGAATTATCGTGATCAATATTTCGAACCATTTGGTAATATTGGAAAAAAATCTGCGGCAGCTCAAGATGAGGAACAAGCCGAAAAATTGTGGAAATATACTGAAGAATTAATTGATGTCAAGCTACGTTAGATTTTGTTTACAGAATTGAATTTGTTATTTAAAATTTGGACAAATGTTAAAGCTTGTTGCTACCCAACGCTCGTTAACATAAAATCTATTAAGTTTGTCAAAGAATTTGTTGTATCATCAATTCTTTAAATTTGGATAATCCGTGGTCAAGAAAATTTTTAATAAATAAAAAAAAAAATAATATTTATTGAAATATTTATCAAAAAATAAATTAAATAATATATCTTTGTAAGCTTAAATCGTAAATAATATTATAAAGTTACCACATAATTTCGCAGAAGAGGTAAGGTTAATTTTTTAGACGATAACGTAATAGAAAAAGGACAAGATTTTTTTATTAATAAAAATACAAAGAATCCAACTCTGTAAATAAATCCCGCTAAAAAAAAAGATTAGATTAAAATATATCGAAATATCAGAAAGGTCAGAATTGATCGCCAATTAGTTACCTGGCAAAACTCATTTTAGCAAATGAAATCTTATATTTGCACGGATTTCTAATAAGTCATTAATATAAATTTGATTTGACGAGATTTATTATGGTTTCGAGTTTCGACGATTTTGC